CTGGGTATCTTGGTCGTTGGGTAGTACGGCTCCAGAATCTTTCAAATTTGGCCGCTTACACCATGATGCTGACTCGCCGTCCAGTAGATTCCCCTGAGACATTGATAAAGTGCCGCCATGTGTGTTCTTCTCTTTGCTTTGAGCAACATCCTGGTGAACAGCACCGAGTTCCTTCCCATTCGTCTGCCCCATTCGTCTGCCCCATTCGTCTGCCCCATTCGTCTACTCGACAGTTTGTGCTTAAAGAAGTCACCTTGTACAGATACAATGTGAACACAAATTGACACGAACTGCTCCTTGTGGTGCCTTGCACCTATGTTCAAGTGTTATTGCCCAGCTCCTTGGGACTCCCACCTCCGGTCACCTTGGTCTCTCTAGACGTACAACCATGTTCAGCGTCAATTTTACTAGCCCAGGCTTTATCGTTCTGTCCATCGCTACGTTACCGCATGTGACCAGTGCCAACGACGCAATGAGTCCTGCTGGACTCCCCAGCCACGTGATCTTTTTACTGACCCTTTTTTCGAGTTGGTTTGACCTCCTAGGCCCTTTCCCTGAATCTACATATCTGCCAAGTCTCCCGGATCGTCCGGGAGCCTCCCAGATTTTGACCATTTTTTCCAGTTGTACGGTTGTCATGAAAACCTCCCGAAATCGAAATTTCTGTGCCTGATCTGGCCCCATTAAAAAAAAGCTGCTCAATTCACTCCAAGCTCTTCGAACCTACCCCATTTTATTATAAATGAGTTTAAGAGGCGCTCATGTAAACGTACAGTATAATCTCAGTGATGTGAAATTGCAGCAGATACGAATTTTTAAATTCCCCAGCCAAATTTTACTATTTTACTTTATTGGGCCTCAATTTGAATGTTCCGAACACATTTCTCAATCGCGGCGGGTGATACGAACTTTAGTACGGAAACCGTCAAATGAAGGTCGAGAGCAGCGTACTCGAAGCTTCGAAAGTACGCGTGCGACCGGCGCACGCACTGTCTTCTACAGTGCGTGTGATTGTCGTTGCCACATTTGCCGAGGACGAAACCGTGGTCGCTCTTGACTAAGTCATGTATGGCGACAATGTAACTGAGAGAACCCCAAAAGTGTACGCTCAACCAGTCAAAGCAACGCTGCTTTCCGCAAACTCTGAGGACAAACCAGCGGCAGATGCTATCGTAGATGGCATAAAGTGACTTAGTTTTGAAGGCGCAAGTGCAGCTAAACGCATGTGGATTATAAAATGAACTTGTGTTGCCGCAACTGTCGCGCACAAAACCGCGGTTGCGGTGACGCGATAGCGATCTACGAGCTCCGAGGGCACGCAGCAGTAGGTTAAAGGCAGTAAATAGGTAAAAAATAAAAAAAGTTAGTTTCGCTGCAAGGACGAAGCAATAAATGCGACAGCAACAACTTGGAATGTAATGCTGAGAACGGCAAGCAGATCGAAACGTGCCGTGAGCTGCTCACACACAAATGACGCACGAAAACGATACTCGCAGGATGAGAGCGTACTAACAGTGTTTATTGCTCGACACGTAACGCGCTGTTTAAACAAAAACAATGCATGATACGTAATCACAGCTACAGATGAGTACAAACTAACAAGTGTCCCAATTGTTATACCTCGCTGTGTATGAAAAGTGCGCTGTTTTCGCAAAAGATGCCTGTGCAGAGACCGAAGTGACCTTTGTGGGCCCGGCAACTAACGCTTTCGTTTCAGTGAAAGCCGAAGACACACGATTCCTCCACCAAAGGATTAGCGCGCGCGCACAGGCATCTATCCATGGGGCAAAGTACACGTAAGAAATAAACACGCGTCGGCACATCGCGGCGAGCTCGGTGGCGAGCGCAGGCAGCTTTTTTTCTTTGAGTTTCGTATATATAGATACGTATACATATACGGTGAAGAACGGTGGTGGTGGTGACGGCAAAAAAAAAAAAAAACAGCCTGGGCTGTCCATATAATTTCTATCGCAATAAAAGGGACCAGACGCGTTTTGGCGTTCCTGTCAAAGAATCTAGCAGCGAGCAAAGCTTTGACCCGCGCTTTTGCCACAGCCAGCTGCGCCGTCCCATCCGTTCACGTGTGTCCCAGGAAAACACACGAGAACTGTTTTGACTAAAATGGATTCTGCTAGTTATATGATCCTTTGAGACTCTCACCTTGGTGAAATACTCTACCCTCGTGTGTTCGGCATCCTAGCCATATAAGACCGCAATGCTGATTTGGCGCTTGGGATTGAGACCCCCCTTCCATCCCCTTTTGTTTTTCGCGATGTTTTTGGTTTGTTTATTTGATCTTGTTTTTTTAATGCCCCCGCGGAAATCTCCCGGATTCAGAATCCTTGAACTTTGAAGGTATGAATCTACTCCGGAAACAAATGGATAGCTGTCGCTACAGATCACACAACCCAGTACGCCATCACACGGGCTTTCCAACCAGCTGTGCCACAGATGTTTCCGATTCCTTTCTATACGACGTCACCCTCCATCATGGTTCTCCATGCCAACTCCTCACAGATCGTGGACGCTATTTTGTGTCCCAAGTTATTGACGACCTGCTTCGCTTTTGCGAGACCAAGCATAAATTTGCAACGGCCTACCACCCACAAACTAGTGAACTTACTGAACGATTCAACCGGACTTTACCTGACATGCTATTTATGTATGTCTCCTCCCACCACCTAGACTGGAATGTTGCATTGTCCTTTGTTACATTTGTGCACAACTCCTCATGCCACTATACCGCTGGGTTTTTACCATTCTATCTCTTATTTGGCCGCGACTCAACTCTATCTTTAGACACAATCTTTCCAACAGCTGTCGATTCGCCGACTGAATTTGCCCATGACACTATCACCAGAGCTCGCGAAGCACGAGACGTTGCTCATAAGCACCTTTAGCATCACAAGAGCAACAAAAGCAATGATAAAATGCACATCATCGCGACTTTTCCTTTGCCCTGGGTTCCCTTGGTTGTTGTGGACCCGTCTCGGAATGCTGGTCTCTCTGAAAAACTGCTTTCTTGGTACTCGGGACCCTACTGTGTTTTGTGCTAGGGACCGCCGTCACCTACGAGATAGCCCCACTGAAGTCTTCATCTCCTTCCGCTCCACTGTCTACGGACATTGTTCATGTCTCCCGTTTTAAGCTTTGCCGCTCTGCAACACGATAGAAAGCACCGAGATGATGCTTCAGAACCGGGGGTCATATTACAAGACTACATCACGCTGAAGAAGCAAGAAAGACGACGAGGAAGACGACGTAATTTTGGGATGGGGGTGTGCTCTTGCTTGCCATAAAGGCTTACGCTTGGCATTGTGTAAATATATCTCAACTATCGCTCGTTTCTCTGTGTGCTCTCCGTAACAATATGTAATTGCAGTATCGTGCAGTGGACGCACTGCATGGAGAACACAGGGCACGGCGCTGAAGCGCCGGCCGACACGAGGTACGCAGGAGCCGGTAGCGAAGCAGTAACTTCCTTATTATGTACAATGCCGTGCATAATACACAAGGTAGCGCCCCCTGAGGGAGAAAATACTTTACATGAAACCGAATCTGGCAACCATAAAATCAAAACCGAAACGCCACACCATCCCCCCCCCCCTAGAAAGAAAAGGACATGTGGCTCTAAGATCCTTATACAATGAATAACAGCACATAAGTAACTTTTATAACCTTATACAATTTTAGAAGAATGTTATGACTCGTAGAACTTCTGTGTTTACAACCTTAATGTCCCCCCCTCCTTTTGTCGTAATGTAACCAATTGAAGAAGAGAGAAGCTTTATGAGAAGGAGAAAAAAAAAAGCTATGTACACAGCACACCATGGCTGAAAGCACTTATACAACTAACATACGACAAGAAATCACAGCATACCAGTCTATCCCTTATAACCTTGTACAATAACTAGATGCACAGCATACCCACAACATGCACACGTATAGTACAGGCTTCAACATGCGAGTAAGAAGAAGACTTTAGGACACGAAGTCCTTAAACCTGGATGGTTTCTTATGCAAACGTTTAGAACGCCGAAGCTCATTGCGCTCTGAAGTGCATGGCTACCCTGAATGCCAAATGATTGTTCTCATAACGATCCCAAAACGTAGACTGAACATAAACCATGAGAAAAAAAAATAATAGGGAATTGAAACGGAAACACCACAGTAAACATAAAGAAGCATGTTGGAAAGCAACAATAAATATGCTTGATTCAGTAAAAACAACCTAAAATTTACAAAACAGCTCCAGCTTCTTAACTGCCAAATGTCCGGTCATTTCAAAAGATCAACGGCTATACCATTGAGTTACACTAATAATATAATAGAAGTAACACCTACGTCAAGAGGAAAAGCTATTTCATAAGTGGGAAAGCAGGCTTGGAATTTTAGTATATTTCCGCATCATGATTTTTAACTTTCAAAGTTGCGAATAAGTTTCTGTACTTTTCGTTTTAATGTGAAACGCCACATGGACACTTGATCATGTTCATCATGACATCTACTGTGCACGCCTTTTCACCCAGGTTGCAGGCTGGCACTTTAGCTTGAAGAGTTCATGCTTCTGGTTGCCAATAGGCAAACAGCTGAGCTGCATTTCAATGACCAACAACAACAAAAAGAAAAGCCACGCATACCAGACAAGTTTGGTGTTGTTGCAACAAGAACTATTTCAAGCTGTCTGCGATTTTTTTAAATATAGATTAATGCTTAACCAATGAAATTTTTATCAGGTTTATGCAAAAACAAGTAAACTGGTGGCTCAAGTTGCTGTCCATGCGAGAGAAGGATAGTAGAGTTTCAGAATAAATAAATGGTAGCATTTTGTTTCTCTGAAAATTAGCAGCATACCAAAATCTGTAGTATTTGAACATAAAAATTTAATTTTTTTGTAATATCATGCAATGAAAAAGTGGGTTGCAGGAGAGCATACTACAAGTGGACAGCGTTGTGATCAGTAGGCTAAGTGTGCCTGTTGATGAAATTTGTATGTGCAGGGTGCATGACCATGCTCATCGTCACTTAGAAAAGTCTGCGATGCCCAACTGGACAATCCTGAAGTATACAAGTCTATGGTCAAGAAAGGTTCCATGTGAAGTTGTGTGACCCGGTCGTCCTGGTGATGTTTTGTTTTCTTCAAATAAAGTGTGCCTGATATTTTTTTGTTTTTACAAATTAACTGTCATCTAATAGCTGAATCTGCATTCTGTGGTGCCTTGCATGTATTTCTGCCGGCTTACAAGCAGTCATGGGCACGCAAAAAGAATGCTGTTCCAGTTACTGATTTTCTAAAGAGTATGTTTCGTCATCGCGTAAAAAGTAATTGGTTACTTGCCAAATGATATAATTTAATAGAATACGCGCGAAAACTAACGGGGAGTGTATAACGAGTGAAGATGGCATGTATGGATCAAGTTTATTCCTTATATTCTTCAAGGTGTATCAGCCCGCCCTGTTCAGATAGCTTTGCTTCCGCTGGGCATACAAACAGTTTCTGGTGCCCCTGTCACACGGCTGATCTAAGGTCATTGTCAACGAATGACATTAGGTGAACTTCGTGTCATTTTACCTGGCTACTGTTGCACAGCCAAAAGAAATATTTTAGAATGATGGCCATGACCAGAGCCTTTCTAAGCGATGACTTCGCGAGAAATAAACATACAATAAAGCTTGCATAAAACATGCGTGTATCCTCGAAAAAATATTTATCGCTAAAAAGGTGCTGTGAAAATATAAACAGCCTTTTTACATAGATTGTCGCAGCACTGCATGACACAAATGAAGTCAAGCCAAGAGTCAATTGAAAACCAATATGGCCGATGATATTACTATCAATGTTTATAGATACTTTTTCAGTTCTCGAACTCCTCCTCTCAAAATGGGCGCATTTGCTTCCACTGAGTGTGGGGGCCCTGCAGTCTATAACCAGCTGCTCTATGCAGGGCCTGGCTCCAACGTGGCTGGCTTCACTGCGAATTCAGTTTTGTGCGTTCCGTGCCGGTGTTCAGTGGTGCTATTTTTTGTTTGTTTTTGCTGTGTGTATGTCTCATCGCTTTCTGCACGCGTGGCATGCTCTCACAGTCTTCTGAAGACAATTCGACGCCTACATTCACGAAGCCACTCGGACCTCTGCGACATAGAAAACTCTCTAATTGTTGACATCGTGGGCACGATCGACCATGTGTGTACGCACTGAACTCATGTGTATGTCTACCACTTGCTGCTATCTCGTGCACCATAGCTCAGACCTTGCGGACATCATAACAAGTGTTTTGTGCACGGGCGCACCAGGAAGTACAGGAAATGCCCCGAGAAACGCCGCTTCTCTCCCCCATCCGACCCGCTGTCACTGCAGAAGTGAGAAATATCCATTTGAGAAGTCGACATTGACCGTGGTACTTGGACATAACCGTGGTATTTGGACATTGAGGAGTGATGGAGTTCCTTGTTTATTTGCGAGCTTTCCAGTGTACTTATCATGAAGCCGCAAAAGACGAAGTTCGTCAAAGAAAGGGTACCTGGACTTCAACCAACTGCTGCTGCCTTACGATCTGCCAGAACTATCTCGCAACAGGTCGGGCACCCGCTCCTTCCAAGGACTGAGCGATTTTCTGAGCGATTGGAAAAAAAGGCTTCAGTTCAGCTTCCTGAAACTTCAACCAACTGCTGCTGCCTTACGATCTGCCAGAACTATCTCTGCAACAGGTCGGGCACCCGCTCCTTCCAAGGACTGAGCGATTTTCTGAGCGATTGGCAAAAAAAGGCTTCAGTTCAGCTTCCTGAAACTAGAGTTCAGCACTCCCTGAGGAGGCGGAAAAACCTCCAATTACAGTTTTCTCTAATGCAGAATTCAAAGAATATCTACTGCATCCTCAAGAGCACCGTCATCTACTAGAATTTGACCTACATGGTTCCAGCAAATGGGAAATTTTTAAAAATTTACTTTTTCATATACCAATGTGGTCACTCAAGGATGTAAAGGCCATCGTGTATGTCGTGCTCCTTGCAGTCTTGATAGCCTCAGCTGTCCGCCTGTTAGCACAGGGAAAGGCATAAGTACGTCGCTAAAAAAATATTCATGACTTGGACTGTGCGGGTATGACTGGTGCCGCAGAGGTATGTGTGTCTTGGGTCATTTTAGCAAGGACACTGAAAAAATATAACGGCAAAAATGACCAAGAACAAATTGCAGATTGCAGCCAGGTAATTAAGAAATCATTTAATCTGCACCACGGCCACTCGAAAATGGAGGTAACTTGAGATATGCCGCTGAAAGAAAAATTTAGAACTGCGTTCCAGCAACTCTGAATGATCTAGTTCAAGATATACCTGAATTGCAGAAAGTGTCAATTCATAGTACGCCCATCATGCAACGAGAAGCAAAATCACCAAATGGGTATAGGTACACAATAGATTGGCTAATGCTTTGTTTACTGCTCACAAGCCTGAAACGTTACAGGAAGCACTTGTGTGATATTTTAATGCTCGTGACAAGTGTACATTACATATAATTTCCTTTTCATAAGATAAAGGCAACGTAGTTGTAAACTGGTGTGTGATTATGGCAAGTGTTCTTGTGTCAATGCAGTGATGTTTTCCTATTTTCACAAAAATTTGCATTTTTTATTTGAATGATCACAAGTTTTATCCACTGATAGACACCGATAAATCTGAATATTTCAGAAACAAAAAGTGCTCTGGTTTAAAGCAGCTGAACAGAGAAATAGCATAATTTCAGTGGTATATTGAGCATGTCTGATACCTTACAGCAAATACTCGGTTTCAACTTCCTTTACTGTACAGCCCGCTGAGGTGCTTCTTGCTGTGCAAAGTCAATGTACACAGCATCGAAGATCCCTATTCTAAGACTTTCAAAAATAGCTTTAAATGACTAAGCTAGAACCAAATGAGTCAGAGTTTATACCGAGACTTCGTTTACACGTAGCTGATACAATTGAGCTCCAAATTTTGCTTCTACTACCTGGAAGAACAACAAATTAGAGGGCGACAAACAGCTCTTTAATCTACAAATGCTTGCCTATCACCATGCTTACGCTAGCTATTATTATTACCAAGAACTCGGAAAGATTCCATGCACGCATTTAGGCCCGACATTATAGTCCTAGTTCCTGAAACGAAAAATTGTGGTGCAGGACTCTTAACATGAAATCGTTTTGTGAACGCTGCACACTGGCTACACTGCGCCTAGCAGTAGCAGACGACTCTAGTTTGCTTCACACAAAGTTCGACTGCAGCGCCACTGTGGCGTGAACTGCAACTGACCACCTGCTCTCCGTAGGCGAAGCGGGGAGTTCAGAAACTAAAAAAAAGGTCTACAAATGTTCATTACGATCATGAAGTGGGGCATTCTAGCACGCTCAAGCATGACCCGTTACGAGGCATGCACTCGCTTCCTTCACGGCCTCTGCACAGGGGGCTGTTTCTACTTATTGCTGCAATCTTGCGGGGGCGTTCCGAGCCAACTCTCCGTAAAGTCACTGAAACTAGGAAAGTAGTATCGCAATGGCGTCAACAACAACAACGTCAATCAAAACTTGAAAGTCGCACCTTGCACAGTAAAGCGGCTGCTGTCGAATGCAGGAGAAACCTCTTTGCTGATAGCGCCACGCAAGCGCAGCGGCATAAAAACAAAGCGCGTGGCCTCCAAAATGGTGCTCGCGCTGCGTCATAGAACTACAGAGGCTGTGTTCCAATACTCACCGTAGACGGCTAAATAGACAACTAAATGGACGGTGGCGGTCATCTTAAGTCCCATTCCAATTCTCATGTATACGGCAAAATAAACAGCTCCGAGAAGACCGCATCATAGACAAATACGAAGCAGACTACTTTGCTGTCTAAACAAGATGGTGGCTCAGCGAATCGCTGACATAGATCAAATCTTGCCATAATGGTCGTCTGCTCACAAATACACGCTTTCCGCTGAATGTGAGTCACGTTTATTTGTTTTTGATTTCAACATGAAATAAGCCAGAAAATACAACTGTTACGTTTGTTTATTTTAGCTTTTTCTTCTTGACGCGAGGTGGCTCATCGTCACGTAAAAGCTGTCCAGAAGTCTTCTAATTCTCAGACACCATGGGCTCGGTGCTGTCTTCTAAGCAGCCTGCATAGACTGTCCACGTGCTGTCTAAGAATTGTCTACGTGTTGTCTAAGATGCGCCGCATCTCGGCTGATTCTCCTGCGGGTGAAAGTAGCGGCAACGCTATGGTACTGAAAATCTCAGGATTGGGAGCGCACGTGCCCGAGCCTGCGAAAGCGTGTAATTGCTTGTTTTCAGCGCGTTTAATGTGTTTCTGAGCCTTTATCAGTTGACGCACTTGTTACGTGCCATGGTGCATGAGTGAATATGCAAGCACGCCGAAATTGTGTCGATACATTCATTGTTTCAAGAGCCTGCCGACCCACGCACACACACAAAAAATGTCAATCAGAATTTGCACGGATCCGCCTAGCTTTTTACTCAATCAGTGCTTTGAGCTGCGTTACATCATAAGTGGCTACTGGTGAACTAAAAAAAAAGAGGAGTATCAAAACCGTGATTAAACCACACGCTCGTTTTGTCCGCAGTCTCTACGATATCCAGAGCACAGTGTCCCTCATATGAGCCTACATGCTCTTATGAGGGACACATGATTGTTTCACGAAAAACCCGAGTATAAGTAACGTTGGCACAACATTATAGGTGACGACTCTGTTTTGTCATGCCAGTTTTGCTGAAGATAATAATTATTGCTTCCTGCAAAGCTTATTACATATCAAAGTTATTAAAACAATACACAAACATATTAAAAAGTGCCAATTATATATATAGCATGTCTGTTAATCTGCGTGAATTCATTGTAACCAGTTCTCATTTTGCATTGACAGATTAAATTGTGCTGCTTTCCAAATATTCAATTGGTGTAACGCCATTGCAAGCGAGCAAATTTATGACAATGTTTTAAATTATAAGCGAAGTTCTGTTATTAAGTGTCAAAAGTGTATGCAGGCTGTGGTACACTTGTTTTGAGAAATTTACCTTCCTTGTATATGTACACAGTAAGCACACACATATATATATATATTAGTGTGTCCTATGTAACTTGAGTCAAGAATTTAAAAATGAAAGGAACTTAGGAGTTGAATTGAACCA